GTTACTTTCAGCTATGGTGAGCCCCCACCTGGGTACCAGGATCCTAGAGTGCACCCCTTGGATCACACTTGCAACTGATTCAGCCCTAGGGCTCCAGCTTGGACAGCTGAGCCAGTCTGGGTTCTGGACTTTGCATCACCGCCTTCATAATTAATGTCTGAAATTGATGACAGCACCCTCCGGGAGGAGATGAGGAGGATGACCAATTCCTGCCAAAAGTCTATCCTTCAAAGGATGTTGCCTGAACAATTTTTTTCCAGTTTAATTGGATGAGATTGAATTCCTTTGAAACATAGATTTTTTTTATTAGATTTGAAAATAGTTCATAGCCATCAGCTTCCTATTACATGTAAATGGCTCAGCATCTGTAAGACTCATTTCACCCAGGAGATCTCAGACTCCTAATTACAAATCTCAGAATTCAAGGCCAATTGCTTTGCTTCCCTCTGCCACACAATGCTCTAGAGAGACCATGAGCACTCACTTCCATTCCCAGCTGCCTGCCATGATCTAGGACTGAGCGCAAGCATTAAGTCAGGGCTCTGACAGGCTGACCTCAGGAGTCCAGGGCTGGGCTCACAGCAAAGACAATGGAAAATGCTAAAGGAGGAGGAGGATGGAGAGAGGGGGCTGATGGGGACAGCAGCTCTTACGAACAAATTCCATTGTTTTGTTTTGTTTTTTTCTGGATCAAAAAGCAGGCACCTGGCCGAAGAGGAAACGGAGCCTTCAGCACTGAATAGACATGGATGAGTGTTAGAGGCTCTGGCGGGAGCCACAGCCTACTAAAGGAATGGGCCAATTTGGCGGTGGTTAAGCTGCTCTCTCAGCCTCCCTCCTCCCTTGATGATGATGTGTGTAGTGACTGTCTTGGAGGCATCTCTTCCTCAAGCGCCTTTCCAGCAGGGTGTGGAGGGAGTGGCACAGGTCGAGGAAATCTTAGAGGCTGGCAAGAGATGCAGAGTCTCCTACAAAGTGTCCACCAGTGGCCACATGCCTGATGTAGTTCCTGTTCTAATCCATGCAAACACACAGGAAACATGCAGTTAAAATGAGTATCTTCCTGGAACCAGACCTAATTATCTCCCTAAGAGCCCTCATCCACTAATATGAGTCCACCTGCAACTGATTTCCTACAGTGCAGTCAGCCCCTAAAACACTCATCCTTAGAAAAAGGTCAACAGCAAAGAGGGGAGTGGCCAGGCCACAGAGCTGGCCCTCCAACATACTGTAGGCATGTGTGGTCTAATGGAAAATATTCCACCTAATTGTCTTCACATTTTGAATACTCTCAATTCAGGTTCTCATTTAATGCTGGACTGTTGCAAGAGCTGGTATCCAGGATTGACAACAGGAATTATTTTTTGTAAGAGAGGCTCCGTTTCAAAATACAGGCTCAGCAGCCATCTGTCATGATGCAAGTTTTCATATTTATTAGAATGAATAGGGAACTTAATCTGTGCTACAAGCAGAATGAGACTTGTCTAGCTTCAGATCCATATACAGCCCACAGTGCTTTTCAGAAGAGGTACATGTTGCAAGCTTTGAAAATGAAGTCTTCTCAGGCAGAGCACTACAGCCAGGAAGTGGCAGAATCAGCACACAGGGGAACATCCCACTAAACATGGTGCATGCCTGTAATCCCACGCTGAGAGATGAGGTCTGCAAGTTTGAGCCCAGTGCAGGCTACATAGGCAGATTATGTCTTAAAACCAACCAAACAACAAAAAGGAAGGAAGGGAGGGGAAAAAGGGAGGTAGGGAGGGAGGCAGAGAGAAAGAAAAGAGAGAGGGGGGGGAGAGGGAGAGAGAGAGGGAGAGAGAGATTCTGAGATTCAGTGGGAGCTGAGGGAAGAGTAGCCTGAGGAGTGTGGGAGAGAGAGAGGGGGGGGCTGAATCACAAATCACAGAGCATGAGAAAGTGAAAGTGAAGATGAGATGCCAGGAGTGAGGAAAGGGAGGGAAACGGAGAGGGAGCCTGGCAGAGAGAAAGAAAAGAGAGAGAGAGGGAGCGAGGAAGGAAAGGGAGAGAGAGAGGGAGGGAGGGAGGATCAGTAACTCAAAGTCCCAGGGAATTCCATGAATAAGTCAGGAAACCACAAAAGGAATTCCAGTTACAGCTGTAATTTCTCCAGGATGATCTCGGAGAAATTTCTTTACTCATTCATTCATCTATTCAATAAGTCTGCACTGAACCCTCAGGAGCTGAACACTCTGAGCTATCAAGGATTCAACAGTAGAAAAAGGCAAGCACCCCATCCTTGTGGGTCTTCCACTCTGGTGTCCCTTGCAAACATTCAGGTTTGTCTATTTATTTACTTGCCGTTACTAGGGCTCAAGTCTAGAGTCTAGTATATAGTAGATGTCCTAGACTGATGGTTATGCCCCTCTGTGTGCCAGATGACTGGCATCTCTGTCACTTGGCATTTCTTACCAACTTCCTGCTGACTCTCTGTGCCCCTGAGTGCTGCTGTGATGACCCAGGGCATTAGTTTTCTTCTTCCTTCCTATCAAAGAGAACAGAACTGAGATTTGCTCAGTCTTAGCAGCTGTCAAGTGTCATATCTTGTAGCACTAAAAGAAACCAGCTCCTTTGATGTCCCATCTCTCGGCCCAGTCATTATTTCCCCCCTCAAGTTCCCATGAACACATTGTGGGGGCAGAAGCAGGAGGTGTGCACCCTCATTTCAAGTGGGGTGATCTTCAGCATAAATTGAATTGCTGATCACACCAAATGGCAAAACCCAGTCTATTCAGTCTCTAAAAACCATCCCCATACTAGGGTCTAGTGAACCAAAAGGTAAAATGAAGGGCAGAATAATGTTTATTAACACACATGCTGATTACAAACACAACTTGCTTAAGACTTGACAGGAATAGAAAACCAACCAGAGGAGCATTTGGTGGGATGGTCCAGTGTGACTTACTTCGGCAGGTTTTCTTGTCTGGATTCAGCAAGAAGCCTTTCAGGCAGCGACAGGAATAGGACTTCTTCGTGTTAACACACTCATGCTGACATCCATGGTTAGATGAAGCACAGTAGTCTATCTCTGGAAAGAAATCAAGATCACAGGACTCATGAGTAAAACAATACAGCTAGCACACAAAAAGATTTTCAGTCTGTGTTTTTCCTAAGTGTGCAAAATCCATGTCTTAGGAACTTAAGCTAGGAAGAGCTCTCTCCATGAAGCTCTTTCCATGTCAAGGGATATGCCCCCCCCATACCAAAGAATCCTTCTGACCTTTTTTTGTTGTTAAAATTTTTTTGATTTATTTATTTTTATTTTGTGTGTATGAGTGTTATGTCTCCATGTGTGTTAGTGTACCTGTGTTGTGCAATGCCCGCAAAGGACAGAAGAGGGTGTCGGATCCCCTGGAACTGGAGTTACAAACAGTTGTTAGCTGCCATGTGGATGTTGGGATTCAAACCCAGGTCTTCTGCAAGAACAGTCAGTGCTCTTAACTGCTGAGCCATCTTTCCAGCCCTCTTTTTGACATTTTAAAAAGTATTTCCAAAGGAATTTGTGAACATACTTTACTTAAACTGGTTCATGTAAGAGCCAGTAAAGTTAAAATTGGGTTGGGCTGGGGAAGTAGCTCAGTGGTAAAGAACTTATCTAGCATGCACAAGACCCTGGCTTCAATACACAGCACTTGGGCGCGGGGGAGTTAAATATTTTATGAGGTTGAGGATATGGCTCAGTGGATAAAGGGCTTGCTATGTAAACATTAAAGACCAGACACCAATATAAATGTTGGGGCAGTGGGGAGTGGCCCTCTGTAATCCCAGCACTCCGGAGTGAGCTACAGGTGATTCCCAGAGCAAGATGACTAGCTAGACTAGCTGAACTGGCAAGCTCTGGGGTCAAGACCTTACTTTGACATATAAATAAGGTGGAGAGGGATCAAGAAAGATGACTGATGTCAATCTCTGGCTTACACGTGCATATACACATATATGCATGCATACCCCCACACATCTATGTGCCCACACATATGGGAACACACGTACAAATGCAAAAGAATAAAATTGGATTTTGTTTGCTATATTATAGGCTGGGAAGAGATCTTAGGTGTTTTATGTAATTTGTGCAATTAAAGCGATTTAAGCCTTCCCAAAATCAAACCCTAAACTACTTGAACTCTTTAAACACCAAGCGAAACAATAATATATACAATCAGAAAATATAGGGTCTAGAAGGGAAAGGCCCAAAATTCTGACTTTAAAACTCCTCCCTCAGTATCTTGGTAGACTCCATGGAAATAATTTTCCCTGGGTGTTTATTTGTGTATGTGTGTGTACACTTGTGTGCACATGAATGTGGAGGCCAGAGGTCAATGCTGGATGTCTTCCTCCCTCCCTTTCCACCTTATCTGTTGAGACAGGAGCTCTCACTGAACCTGGAGCTCATCGATCTGGCTAGACTAGTAGACTAGCAAGTCTCAGGAATCCTTCTGTTTCTATTCCCCAATGCTGGGATTATAGGCACACACCACTGTGCCTGGCTGTTTACAGGGTGTGTGGGTGTGTTGGGGATCAAACTCAGCTCTTTATGATTGCATGACACTTTGCCAACTGAACTATCTCCCCATCCCCATAAATAGGATCTTTCATCTCAAGATCCAGTCAGAAAATGTGATCTCTAGGGAGTTTCTGAAATATTCATAAAGAAAAGGATTCGTGGAATTTGTTTTGAGGGAATTTTATTTGCATAAGCATTTTTAAATATGGAAAGAGACTGTTCTATTGACAGATCTGAGTGAAATATTTTGCTGTAGTGTGGAAATTCGGCACATTGTTTAAAATTGCTCCAAGTAAGTGACCACTGATGGGGTCTTAAAAGAAGTCTTTGTTTTGATGAGGCTTTTTATTGTTTTAACTATGTATATACTTTTCATAATGAAGAATATGGTATAAGTAAGGCTTTTCCTAGTCCAAACTACAGGAAACAAAATAAAAAGAAAACATAATATTCTTGAAAGGAAAAACAGCAAGAAGTTGCTAGTTCTTTCCAACATACAGTAATGGAAAATTTAAATATATACAAAAGTGGACAGAGAAATAGCCACATGTGTATCACCTGCCTATGGTGACTCTCCTTTCATCTGGACCACTCCCACCCCAGAAGATCCCATACTACTTTGAAGCAAAGCCCGGACATGAAAGGAATCTTTAAAAGACCAAGACTCTTTTAAAAATATACGTATATAACTGCAATCCCATAGTCATGTATAAATGCATTTACAAATCTTATCTGGAAACTCTTTCAAATTTACAAAAGGTTGCAAACATAGAAACAGTACAAAAAATATAGTACATCTACATAGTCTTTGCTCAGATTTACCTGCTGTTAACATTTCATCCCACTGACTGGTCATTTGAGTATCTTTCTAAACTACTTGTTAAAGGGTAATTTACATACCCATCAGTCCTTTCCCTTTGGATATGCTTCTTATATAACCATAGTATAGTTATAAACTTCTTAAATTTACATTGATACAGAACTTCTATTTAGGCATCCATTTGTTAGGCTATTCTAATCTTGCCAAGTGATCCAGTGATTTTATTCTGAAACAGGTATTGATATATAGCTCAGGCTGGCCTCAAATTCAAGATTCACCTGCCTCAGCTTCCTGAACACAGGGATTATAGGCATAATGATATTCCTCATGGTTATTTTCACCCTCCAGTACAGAATACAGGCTAGGGCTAGAGACAGTATTCAGTTTTCTGTCTGCTTAGACCTTGTTTAGTCTAGAACCATGCTGTTCAAAGTGGCTATTTAAATATAAAGTGATTAAAATGAAATAAAAATTCAGTTCTTTGGTTGTACTGGGTGCATCTCAAGGACTTACTAGTCACCCCTGGCTGCTGACTATTGTACTGTATGGTGCAAGTAGACTATACCACATCATTAGAGAGTGCTAGTGATGGACCATAACACTTCCACACTTCCACAGTCTCTCTTTGGGTTTTATGTTGATTTTTTTGCTCTTTTTTGAGACAAGGTCTCTCTGTAGCTCCAGCTGGCCTGGAACTCACTTGTAGACCAGGCTGGCCTTGAACTCACAGAGATCTGCCTGCCTCTGTCTTCAGAGTGCTGGGATTAAAGGCGTGCGCCACCATGCCTGGCTTCAAACTTTTTATTCTTGAACAGACTATAGTGGTTTGGGTCTTTTGCGGGATCTGTCCACATTGTATAAGTTACTGGCATGCATCTGTCCAGTATTTCTCTTTCAACCCTTGTAGCATCTATAGTCATATCCACCTTTTCATTCACAATATTGGTAATTTGTGTCTTTTTTCTTTTGGCTAGTCTGGGTAGAAGTTTATCAATTTTCTTGATCTTCCTTAAAAAAAAAAAAAGACTTCAATTTTACTAATTTGGTGTCACATTTCCATCTATTTAAATTTCAGCTCAGATCTTCACGACTGTCTTTCTTTTGAATGTTGAACATGTAAAAAGGTATTAACCTCGTTCTTTCATCTATTCATTCAGTAAATATTTTCCAAACATTCATCATGGGAGAGAGCAGGAAGTGAATCAGCAGTGAACTAAAAGGGCATAATCTCTTGCTTCACAAAGCATGTAGGACTTGTGATCTTTTATATTACATCTTACTCGTTAATCAAATAACACCAATAAACTTACATTTACAAATTGAACATACACCTCAATAATTTTATGAAAAGATAATAAAAACATAATAAATAAAACAATGAGAGAGAACTTCAAGAAAATGAGCAGTTTTAAAATACATTATCTCACCAAACTTAGGGCACATACGTGTAATCTCAGCACCCAGGAAGCTGAGGCAGGAGGATTATGAATTTAAGACAAACCTGAGCTACAAGGTGAGATCCTATCTCAAAACAAAACAACAATCAGTCAAAAAATGTGCCTCTTCAAACATGTATGGTAGAGCAGACATTTGGTACAAAGTTTGGAAGTTAACTTTTTTTTTGTCTTTTTGAGACATGGTCTCTTTATAGCCCCAGCTGTCCTGGAACTCGCTATGTAGTCCAGGCTGGCCTTGAACTCACAAAGATCTGCCTGCCTCTGCCTCCCAAGTGCTGGGATTAAAAGTTTACGCCACCACACCCGGCCCGTGGAAATTAATTTTTAACATGCCAACCTTTGAAAAAATACGGGAATTTATGCATAAGGGTAGTTACCACAACCCAACATGAGCAGTCAAGAAAATCTTTACTACCAGGCAGGGTAGTAAAAGCTTTAATCTCAGAGCTCAGGAGGCAAAGGTAGTCAGATCTCTGTGAGATTGAGGCAAGCCTGGTGTACATGGGAAGTTCCAGGTTAGCTAGGGCTACAGGGAGACCCTGTGTCAAAACAAACAAACAAACAAACAAAAAGGAAAACTTTTATTAAACAGATTATGAGATATTACAAAGACATTAAAATGTTTTATAACATGTAAATGACCTGAGCCATCTCTCCAGCCCCCTTTAAATTTTTTAAAGGTTGGAAGAAAACAAAACAAAACAAAACAAGCAAACAAACAAAAAAAACCAGCCGGGTATGGTGGTGCATGCTTTACTCCCAGCACTCGGGAGGCAGAGGCAGGCAGATCTCTGTGAGTTCAAGGCCAGCCTGGTCTACATAGCAAGTTCCAGGCCAGCTGGGGCTACTTGAGAGACCCGAAAAACCAAACCAAAAGTAAAGGTTGGAAGGATGTGATAGTTACCTCTGGCCAATGGATTATAGCTAATTTTATTTTAACTTTGTTTCTATAAGACGCCATTGTCTCTAATAAACCTGTATCTTTTAATAAAAATAAATACATACACTTATAAAACTAGTTGTATGGAAAATAACAAAAATAATATAGAAAAAAAGAAAAGTGCAGGAGGTTCCTAGAGATTTAGAAAGAAAATCAGTGAAAATGACTAAAGATAATACATATAGTCAAAGATGTCCCTATAAAAACACTAAGTGTGGCTAGAGAGATGGCCAGCAAGTAAGAGCAAATACTGATTTTGCAGAGGATCTGGGTTCAGTTCCCAGTACACGCACAGAGTGGCTCACAACCA